CTCGCGCGTCAGGCCTCCGCGCCCGCCGACGAGCGTAGCAAACGCCTGCTGCAGGCTCATGGGCTCGACCTGCTCGCGCCTCCAGGCTTCCCGCGCGTCGTCGGCGGCGGTGGCGGCGGCGTCGGCACCCTCGCCGTCGAACGTCGGCGGCGGCGGCCGTGCAAACAGGACGAGGCTGCCGCGTTCGAGGAGAAAGAGGGCCTCTTCGGGGAGCAGCTCGTTGCGGCTGACGGTCTTGTACCTGGGCGCTTTGCCCTGCGTCGGCGCCTGATCGCCAGCCGGGCGTGCAATATCGCGTTGGCCTTGGCGGCGATCGCCGTCGTCGCAGTCGTCGTCGACGAGCACCTGCCTGCGCGCCATCTGACCCGTGGTCTCAAACATCTTTCCCTGGAGCTCGTGTACGACGGCGCGGCAGAGGAGTGGGTCCCAGGATGCGGTGGTGAGGCCCTTGTTCATGGACCTGCGCTCGCCCGAGATGGCGTTGATCATGGCCTCGCGGCTGCGTTCGAGCAGCTTCGACTGGCCTCCGAAGCCGGTGGGCTCAAAGTCCTTTTCGCCTCGCTTGGGGATGGCCACCGGGGCGGCAGCGGCGGCGGTGCCGGATTTGGCCTTGGATCCGGCCGCCTTGGACGTCAGAGCGGCGAGACGGAGGTAGTCGGGCATCTCGTCTTCGCCCTCGGAGTCGTCGCCGCCGGCGGGTGCGGCCGAGGGGCCACGACTTGGGGTCGATGGGCCGGCATTGGCGCTGGCGCTGGCGGTGGCGTTGGCGGTGGGCTGCTCGAGGTCGTCTTCGGCCACACTGACAAAGGGCGATGCCGGGGATGCGGGCGTGGCAGGCGTGGCAGGCGTCGAGGGAGTGGCGGCGCGCCTGCCTCTCTGCGGCGTCGATGGCTGCTGCTGCTGCGTCGCTGCCATCGTGCGAGAGATGGGCCAGCTGGCGGTGTGCAGGGTATCGAGAGCGGGTGGTGCAGAAAGAGAGAGAGGGAGAGAGAGAGAGGGGGAAGGTGGTGGTGGTGGTGGTCGCCGTCGTCGTCGTCGTGGGCTGAAGGGGCCTCTGCTGCCGCCCTTTTTTCGCTCGGTCGTGTGGAGCAGCAGCAGCAGCAGCAGCAGAGCTCACCCACCTCCGAAAAAAAGCACCAGGCGGAAATTCGCGGCAGGGCAGGCCACCACCGCCTACCTCGCCCTGGCCCTCTCTCTCTCTCACCCTCACTCTCTCGCTCTTCCCGACGGCATATGGCCTGGCAGCGGCTCAGTGACGGCGGCGTTCAATGGTACCAGCATGTACGGTTGCATCTGCTCGACAGACGGCCATCGACGCCGCAGCCCTCGTGCCGTCAGGGCGTCCAGACGACCTGGCCCTTGGCATCCTCGACCCGCACAATGTAGCCCAGGGGCAGCTGACCCTTGCCCCCCTCGGACTCCCCCTCTCCCTCGCGCCGAGCTCCGCCTCCTCCCCGCCGCCCTTGACCACCCTGATTGGCCCCCTTCGCGCTGTCCTGCTGCTCCTCTGCACTTGCCTCGGTCGCAGACGGCACGACGGCCTGCTGCGGCGTCCCCTCGGGCACCTTGCCGGGCGTCAGCACCACGCCGTTTGACGAGAGAAAGAACGGGATGCCATCCCACAGCGCCGCACGGATATCGACAAAGACGAGCCGCGACGCCGACTTGCGCATGCCTGGCGGCAATGGACCGGCGGGAAGAGAACAAGAGGGAAGTGAGCGCGAGGATCAGTGGACAGGACCGCACGCAGCTTGGACGCTCAGGCACCGCCGACCTACCGGAGATGACGCCCTCGTCGCCCAGCTTGCCCTTGGCCAGGTGGATGTGGTTGCGCGTCATGGGCCTCAGCCCGCCACTCTGGCGGATCCTGTCCCACGCCGCCGCGTCCGTCCCGTGGATGACGAGCACCTCGCCGTCGTCGCTGCCTCCCTGCGATTGCCCCGGCTCGAGCTGGGTCGCCGCCAGTCGAGACTCGAGCGCTTCGTCGCCGTCGCTCGACGAGGCAGGAAAGGGCACGTTGGGTCGCAGCAGGTGCAGGTTGTCGAGGGTCAGCTCGACGTGCGACAGCGCCGTCACCTGCAGCGGCAGCAGAGGACAAAACAGTAGCAGCAGTCAAGTCAGCCCATGTAGCACTGCAAGTCGTCAACCAGCCGAGCAGGCGACAACCCACCTCCTTGAGCGAATGGCCCTGCACCGCGCGGATGAGCCAGGTGCCGTCGTGTTGTGCGATCTCGAAGCGCTTCTTGTCGTTGTCCTCGACAATCTTCCGGACGTCGTCGAGGTCGGGCCTCTTTGCCTTGGCTGCGCCGGGTTGTGCCATGTTGAGGCTCTTGAGGCGCGGGCGTGCGAGGACGTCGTCGAGGCGGATGAAGCCGTCCGGGCGGATCTCGAGGCCCTCTTTGAGGGCGCCGTGGCGCAGGATGTAGGCGAGCGCCTTGGACAGCTGCACGTCGACGGGCTGCGAGCGTGGGTCGTTGCGGTGCGGTGCCTTTTTGGCCGGCTCGGCGTCGGCGTCGAGCGTCGAGCTGGAACCCGTCGCGGCGGTGGCAGTCGCGGTTGCTCTGGCTGCCTGCGCCTGTGCCTTTGCGGCCCGCTTTGCGTCCTTGCGTGCCTTGCGTTCGGCGTTGCTAGTCGCGTCCGCCGTCGGTGCAGCGGGCGACGGCGCTGCCTCGGTGGGCGCTGGTAGCGGTGGCTGCTGCTGAGAGGTGCTTGGGTCCGACATGATGCGAGCGATCGGAGAGGGGCGAGGAGTGATGGTGGTGGAAGGAAGCCAAAATGCGGCGCCGACTTTTTGGCTCTGCAAAATGAGGCGCAAAATTGGCCGTGGAAAAGGCCGGAAGGGCGGACAGCCAGCCAGTCGTCCTGGTCCTCTGCCCTGCACCACCACCACCACCATCTCCTCTACCCTCCTAGACCTCGCCGCACTCGCTCGCCATGACGGACGCAGGGCAGACGTACGCCTCGCCGTCGTCCATGATGGACATCCGCATCGTCGCCGCCACGCCCCAGCAGGAGGTGATGGCCAACCTGCGCGAAGGCGCAGAGTGGCACGGCCCGCTCATGACGCCCCGCCAGTACCTCGAGCGAGAGGCGCACCTCGTCGACTCGGCCCTCTCCCGCGACGGCCGCCGTCAGAAGTGGGTCATGGTGCCCCCCACGGCCGAGCCGGGCACGCTCGACTTTCTCGCCTCGTGCGAGACGCACCGCCGGCCCATGCTCGTCCTCAAGCCCGGCCACTCGGAGCCCTGCCGCGCCGTCGTCTACTCGATCTGCTCGGTCGTCGTGCCCCCGGACAAGCGCAAGAGGGGGTACGCAAGCCTCATGATGACCCTGCTCCACCAGCACCTCTCGAGCACCGGCAGGGTCCCCTTTCCCACCTTCGGAGAGCAGGTCTCGGGCCAGGACGGCCCCACGACGGCCTGGGAGCAGGATCCGGCTCTGCTCGACGCGCGGCATGACGGCGACAGCAGCAGCGCGGGAGACGCAACCGCCTCGTTCCTCTACTCGGACATCGGCGACTTTTACGAGGCCTTTGAGTGGAAGCGCGCCGAGTCGCGCCACGTCGAGTGGCAGGTGCAGGACGGGGCGGCGGGCGGGACCTCTTCGTCGTCGTCGCCGGCGGCGGTCGCGCCGCGCTGGCTCACGGCCGACGAGCTGGTCGACATCGCCCAGCTGGACCGGAAGCTGCTGCTGCGCACGTTCGCACGCGCCGCAGAGACAATCGGCAGCCAGGGGCAAAAGATCCGCTTCGCCATCGACGATCCCGAGGCGCGCGCGTGGCGGTGGCGCATCGAGCGAGACAACTTTACCGCTCGCTTCGCCGACCCGCCGCTCGCAAATCGGCCGACGCGGTACGGCGTCATCCTCGGCGGCGGCGACGGCGGTGGCACCGCAGACGGGCCGGCCTATGCAGCATGGACGTACGACGCCGCGCATCGGCAGCTCAAGCTGCTGCGGCTGCAGTTCGAGACGGCAGCCCAGTTTCGCACGCTCGTCGACTTGCTCAAGGGTGAGGCGCAGCAGCACGGGATGCGCAGCATCGAGGCGTGGAACGTCGACCTGGCCAAGCTGGGCATCGCCATCGACCAGCCGACGCAGGCCCGGCTTTGGAAGGGAGAAAAGGTGGCGTTCGAACGCGAGCTGGCGGGCGGCGAGCTCGTCGAGCGCGACGACGTGCACCTCCCCTCGGTCGCCTGGTACGGCGAGAGGCGCGGCGGGCAGCACGTCGAGTGGCTGCTCAACGAGTACGGGTGGTACATCTAGCCGGGGACCGTCGCGAGGGAGAGGGGAGCAGAGTGGGGGGATAGTACGGCATCGAAGGGATTGGCATGCGAGCTCGAATACAACAATAGCGACAGACGTTGCCTTGACGGCGTCGACGCGGCGCTGGCCCGCTCACTTGCCTACCTGCCTGCCCAGCTGGCTGGCAGCTTGCGTCGTCGAGTCTTGGCTGTCGATCCGAGAAGGCGATCGTCCGTCCCTGCGCGGCAAAAGCGCTCGAGGTCGGGCGGATCAGACGTGGGGGAGGCCTTGAACGATCCACCTCTCGATGCCCTCCTCAAAGGTAGCGGGACGGGGGCGCGAGAGCGCATCAAGGGCCTGGATGCGTCGAGTACGCGTAGCCGGCGGCGGTAGGGGTCTTAGCACATTGTGCGGCGATACCTCTTCGTGGTGAGCAGGCCGACCTTCGGGACCCGCGGGTGGAAGACGGAGGGATCGCCATCGAGCGGCCTGGAGCGCGGCTTGGCGCTCCTGCTCGGCCAAGTCGGACGCCGAGTGCTTGGATCCGCAGCATCCTCGTCGTTCCTTTCCCACCCGGCCGTCCTCCCCTGCCCGGCCGTCGAGGGAGGGAGGGTGTGGGAGAGGTAGGCTCGTGATGAGGCTGATTAGGAGGGACAGAGAGAGGAGTGAGAGGAACAGAGTCATCGTATCGAGGGTGGACGGAGTGAAGGTGTTGTACGAGGAGGTCGGAGAGGGACGGCGGTATCGACGCCGGAGTGAAGGTGGGAGGCAGGAAGGATGGTGAGGAGGAGGAGCGAGACAACGACCTTTGACGGCCCCCCCTTCTTGTACCACGCCAGACCGGCCTGTCGACGGGGCACAGCGTGGAGCACGCCGTAGCCCCAAAGTGCCGCCGGGGCCGGTCGCGGCATCCATCCGAGGATATGAAGGACAGTCGGGGTGACGACGGCGCGTTGCAACGACCCGGACCACACCGGCGATGGCCGGCTATCGATCCGGGATCGGCGTAGCGTCGAGATGGCGGATCGATGGCCGCCAGGGGGGCGGTGACACATCGATACGGACGAGACGTGCACGCCGAACGGAGCGATAGCTCTGCGCCGCTACGCCGCTGCCGACGTCGATGTAGCGTTGGGCGGATCAGGGCACTCGCATCCCGCGCACGGCGTCACGGACGAGAGATTCGAGGCCATCCACGACACCGCCACCCTCGCGCGAAACGCGCGACGCGGACTCGAGAGTGGATCCGGGCTGGCGGCCGGCCCGTCCGATGGCGGCGGGGAGCACGGTACGACCGGCGGATCCGCCATTCTGCGGCGGGCGGGGTAGCGGCTGCGCCCTGTGCGGGCCCGGACCCCAGTGTTTAGGAGGGGGGCAGTGGCAGCGGGACGCGCGCAGGCCGATCGCTGTACCGGATGAACCTCGTCTGGCCGGGCTCCGGAAGCGGGTAGCTGCGCGCACCCTCGACGACGGGGAGTGCGGTACGGGTGGCGGCTCTGCTGTTCTGCGGCGGGCGGGGTAGCGGCTGCGACACGTGCGGGCCCGGACCCCAGAGCTTAGGAGGAGGCAGCGGCAGCGCGACGCGAGGAGGCCGATCGCTGTAGCGGATGTATCTCTTCTGGCCGGGCTCCGGAAGCGGGTAGCTGCGTCCCCCTCCGCCTTCGCCGCTTCGACGAAGGACCCGATCGTCGAGCCTCGAGATGGGCAGACCCCATACGGTCCCTGCCAGGACCGTGGCGAGTAGGACGAGGAGTAGGAGGACGAGTGAAAGGTGAGAGCGGATCGAAGACATCGTGTTCTGGGTCTGTGGCAATAGGCAATCGGGATGGGGTTGGAAGGGAGCGAGAAATGCTGAAAAGGGAAGGGAGGGGGTCGGATGGAGGGGAGCGAGGAAAGCGAGGAAGGCAGCAGACGAGGACCTTTGGGTCCTTCGCTCTCTCTTGTAGACAGGACGGGACGCCCGGCCATGGGCGCGGAGAGGATAAGGCTAGAGGAGGGAAAGGGGAAGATGAGACCGCCGCAACGACCGAGGGGCGAAGGAAAGCTTGATCTACGAGACATCGACCGAGGTTGGCAGCCGCCGAACGACGACGCCGCTCCGACCGAACAAAGGCGGACTGAACCCAGAGCTCGAGTTGACGGTGCTTGAGGCGGCGCACGAGAGCGCTGGTATGCAGCCTCGCCGAGATCTTGGGGCGACGCAAGCGAACGAAAGGCGCCGAGCTGGCCCCGCTTCATCACCAAGGACGACGTCGTCCCGCCGCCGCTGCGGCTGCCGATGCGTTTGCTGCTCGGACGCCCCGAAGACGAAAAGAGCTCGATCGGCGATCCCTTGACGACGTACGGCGACCGTGCCGATGTCGTGTACCGCCCATCGTCGGGACGGGCGGCAAAGAGCCATGATGAAGATGGTGGGGATGTGGAGAAAGAGGGAGGCGAGGATCGCTGGCGGTCCAGGGTAGCGTGTCGCAGCCTGATTGTCCTCGACCGGCTCGGCTCCGCGAGGGACGTCGGTCCGTCGGTGATCGGCGAGCTCGGCTTGATCAGGCAAGGTGGGGGTGGGGCAGGTACCGCACCGACTCCTCGAGCACCTCGACGATGCGCTCGGACGGCATGCCAGGCGGCGGGAGGTGCGGACCGCGACGCTCCGCAAACCGCAGCGCAACGGCGTCCAGGCCGAGGTCCTCGCCCCTGTCCTCCGCTCCGGCCGGCAGCGCAGGCGGTCGTGGCTCCTGCGCCTGCCCCATCGGTCCGAGATCCTTGAGCTGCAACCTCGAAGACGACGACGACGCCCCGAGGTGCCAAGTCCTCGCTTCATCTCGGCCTGGCGCCCCGGGCACATCTGCAAAGCTCGGACTCGTTCCCGTCCGATGGAGGGCGGCGTGTTGTCCCACCTCGCCGTCCTCGCTCGGGGCTGGCGATGCAGGCGGCGGAGGCGGTGGATAGGCCTGATGCTGAAAATCGAACAACGACGACGTTGACGACGTCGACGTTGACGGCGATGACATAGGCGGGGACGACGAATCCGTCGAAAGCCGCTGCCGCGGCATCGCTACCCCGTCCTCATCGTCGTCGGCGAGATTGAGGACGGCGGGACGCGCGCAGCAGTTGCCTCGCCGCTCTCGACCCGTCCGATCGTTGGGCGGGATGGCGCGACCGAACGCGGAGCCGGCGAGGGCGCAGGCGAGGAGCACGAGGAGGAAGAAGAAGGCGGGCTGTCGGAGGTATCGGGCCATCTCCGTCGGGTCAGTTCGGTTCGGGTCGATCGCGGTAGTGCCGATGTGTGGTGCAGACAACGAGGGGTGCGGCAGTCCCAGCCTCGAGCGACTTCGACCGCCGTCCTCTTATAGCGCCACCACCTGCCTGCGTCCGTGTCGATGAGACGACCGCATTGAGCTGAGTAGTCGCCCCTCATCGACCTGCTCGTCGTCGGCGTGGGGGGGCCGCGGGGGAAAGTGGCGTTGGGCCAGTAAGGTTTGGCTCAAGAAGGTACGCCGGCGCCGATCATCCTACCTCGGCCCGGCCTCGGGGCCAAGGCCGCACGCGGGGCGGCGGCGGGGGTTCGGCAGCAAGGGCTCATGATTTGTATGGACATGCGATCGTCTGTGACGGGCGAAGGTGGCTGGCTGGTGTACAAGCGGGCGAGCGGGCGAGCGGGCAAGCGGGCGGCCGGGCGGAACGGAAGGGACGGGAGGGCGGAGGGCGAAGGCACAAGACGGACGCCGGCCACCTCTAGCGGCAGTGGGCGTCCATGTACTCGCGGATGGCGCCGGCGAAGCCGTCCTGGTCGACGGTGAAGCCGAGGCCCAACGCGTAGCCGTTGTCAAACTCGCGCGGCCAGCTCGACACGACGCGGCGGCACGTCTCGTCGTCCTCGAACCGGATGAGCGCCACGGCCCCGTCGCCGCGGACGGTGCGGAGCGCCTCGATAATCTGCCGGATGGACACGGTGAAGCCGGGCAGCTGTACGGAGCGCGACCAGCGCGTGATCCTGTCGGCGCTCTGCACCACGACGTCCTTGGCGCGCGCCAGGTTCTCGAGCGTCGTTGAGGGTTTCGCCACCCACACCTCGAGCTTGTCGAGCGCCGGGTCGTCGATCGAGCTGCCGACGGGGCACACGGCCTCGACGCCGTTGAGGGGCTCGCGGACGATGCCCGAGACGAAGGCGGACGTGGCGCGCGAGGGGGCGCCGGGCCGCGGGACGATGGTGGGCAGCTTGACCGAGAGGCCGTCGATGAAGCCGCGGCGCGAGTACTCGGTGACGAGGTACTCGCCCATGAGCTTGGCGGTGCCGTAGGCGCCCTCGGGCTGGCACGCCGTCGAGGGCAGGACGAGGTGGGGCAGCTCGCCGCCGTAGGTTGCGACGCTCGAGGTGAAGATGAAGCGGATGGGCCCGCCCTGCGAGTTGCGCGTGTGGCGTGCCTTTTCGAGGAGGAGGCGCGTGCTGTCAAAGTTGACCTTCATGCCGAGGTCCCAGTTCTCTGCCGGGCGGGGAAGGCGCGGTGGCAGAGGATGCAGATCGGGCGGATGAGCAGGCAGAGAGGCAGGCACGGTCAGCGGCGTCGCTCGGGCCTGGCAGGCGATTGGATGTCGCAGCACGGGATGGGCATGGCCGGGCTGTTCTCACCTTCGCTGCCGAGGCTCATGATACCGTGCATCGAGTAGATGACGTCGGGCTTGCCCAGATCGGTGGCAAAGAGGGCGTCGAGGCTGTCCTGCTCCGAGAGGTCGGCCTTCATGGTGCGCACCTCGGCCGCGAGCGACTTGGGCGGCTTGGGCTCGACGATGTCGGCGAGGATGCTGGTGTCGATGCGGGCAAGAAGCTGGCGTCAGCTGGCCGGGCTTCCGTGCTTGTTTCTGACTGAGGGTCATTGATGGCCGCCGCGGGTACTCACAACTTGAAGGCCACCTGGGGCTCTCGCTCGACGATGCGCGAGGGGAGGAGCGAGCCGAGCCAGCCGCCGGCGCCGGTGATGAGGATGGTCTGCTCGGTGACGGTCATGCTGGGATCGGATGCGGAGGGAACGGGAGAGGGCGGCGTTGCAGATCGAGGTCGAGGTCGAGGTGATGATGTGGTGTGGTGTGGTGTGGTGTGGTGTGGTGTTGCAAAGACAGGCCCGCCTCGGTCAGGTGGCCGAGGCCCGTTTTAAGGGAGCGTGGCGAGCGGCGGCGGACATGCTGGTGAAGCGCTGGTGGAGCGGGCCTGACAGGACGATGGCGGAGGAGTGTCGGGGCAAGGCTGGGCGGCGGGTGATGGGGGTACCGGTACGGTAGCAAAGGGGCACGGCGAGGCGGCGGTGGTGGTGGTGTGTGGGAGAGAGGTTGTGGGAGCATGGCGGCCATCGCCGTGTGGACACGGCTGGCGTGCCCTCCCTTTGGCCCCTCGCCGGCCGCGCTGGCATACACCGGCCTATCGGTCGGTTTGGATGCCGAGGTCCTCGCCTCGCCGGCGCTATGTCGGTCAAATCTTTGGGGCCCCGCAAAACGTCGACGACGGCGGCGGCGCCACCATTTGATTGATGGTGGTTGCGGCACTCGACCGCGTCCGGGCCCCTCGTGCCTCGTCGTCCTCGTCGTCGTCCGTGTCGCTGTCGTCCCGCGTGGTCCCGTGGTCGGTCGGCTTGCTCTCCTCTGCCGAACAAGTGGCACGCCTCTCCCACAACCACCCCGACCGCCACCGCCATGACTACTGTGCTTCCCACATCCACCATCCGCCTGCTCGTAGCCGCTCGCATGGCCCGGTAGCCGAACGGCGCGTGGCAGCACTCGCACCTCCCTACCGCCGGTCGTTGTGCAAACGCCTGCCGTCGTTGGAAAACGACCGCCAGGAGGGACCACCACCATCGACGTCGCCCTCGCAGATACATAACCTCGACCACGAGGACCCCGCAATCTCTACCCCGCACTCGGACCTCACTCGCACAAGGACGCGCATTCCCACCCATCCCGACCCTCCCTACTTTGGCACCCCTCCAGCCCACCTCACCATCCCGTCTCGAGCCCCATGCCCGCCTCGTTCGACGACGACGACAAGGCCAAGCACGGTCCGGCAAGCGGCGCCGCCACCAACGCAGCCGGCCTCCGCCTCGACAACTACGACCGCACCTCGACGCACCCCGCGCTGCCCCTCGACGACGCCGACGCCGCCATGCTCGACGGATTGTCGCCCGAGGAGGTCGCACGCGAGGAGAAGCGCCTCGTGCGCAAGGTCGACATGCGCCTCGTCCCCGCCGTCTGGATCATGTACCTGTTTAGGTGAGAGCGTCGGCGTCGGTCCTCGGCCATCGTGCCTCGCCGACTCCCTCGCTGACCGCCATGGCCGCGGCACCGTGTCCCTCCGTCGCCCTGCTCGCATCTCAACAGCTACCTCGACCGATCCAACATCGGCAACGCCTATACGGTAAGTGGCGCCCCCCGCCTTCTCGACTCGACTCGACGGCCGAACGAAGCCTCTGCCCGAGGCGCGTCGCTGACCGCCGAAGAATCCGGTTTTCCTCTTCGCCTGCCCCGCTCGCCACCACCTCGCGCACCGTCCGCGCCGCAACCCCCGCGACCTCACGCAGGCGGGAATGGGACGCGACCTCAACATGTCGTCGACGCACTACTCGGTCGTGCTCCTCGTCTTCTTCATCACCTACGTCCTCATGGAGGTGCCCAGCAACATGGTCCTCACCCGCGTCCGCCCCAGCCTCTACCTGCCCGCCCTCATGTTTGTCTGGGGCGGCCTCTCGATCTGCTTTGCCGCCGCACGCAGCTGGCAGGTCATCGCCGTCCTCCGCGTCCTCCTCGGCGCCATCGAGGCCGGATTCGCACCCGGCGTCCTCTTCCTCCTCTCGTCGTGGTACACCAAGGGCGAGCTCGCACGCAGATACGCCCTCTACTACTCGGCCGTCGCCATCTCGGGCATGCTCGGCGGCCTCATCGCCGGAGGGCTCCTCCAGCAGCTCGACGGCGCTCGCGGACTCGCGGGGTGGAAGTGGCTGTTTGTGTGCGAGGGCAGCGCCACCTGCTTCGTAGCGTTGGCCACCATCTTCGTGCTCCCGGACTTCCCCACGACGACCAAGTGGCTGACGCCGCGGGAGCGCATGATTGCCACCCGCCGGCTTCAGCGCGACGGCGTCGGCAGCGCCCAGGGCGGCGAAGACGTCTCGCACACCAAGGCGGCCAAGATGGCCTTCACCGACTGGCGCACCTGGGCCTTTGTCCTCACCTACATGTGCACCACGGGCAGCCAGACGATCCAGTACTTCATCCCCGAGCTCGTCAAGTCGATGGGCTACACGGGCTTCCACGTCCAGTACATGACTGCGCCCATCGTGAGTGTGGGACGACGACAGTGGCAGAGACGCGCATCGGAACGAGCTGGCCGCTGACTCTCATCCGTGCACCTTCACCCTTGCTTCGGCCCAACCCGCCCCGCCGCAGTACGCGTGCGCGCTGGTGGCGATCCTGGGCTTCTGCTTCTCGTCGGACCTGCTCAAGGAGCGCGCGTGGCACCTCTTCACCGCGTCGGTCATCGCCGTCGCCTCGTTTGCCATCATGCTGGGCGTGCTCGACCAGACGGGCCGGTACGTGCTGCTATGCTTTGGCGTCGCCGCCGTCTACGCCGCCTGCCCGCTCGTCAGCATCTACGTCTCCAACGCCATCCCGCACCCCTCCGAGAAGCGCGCCGTCGCCCAGGCCCTCGTCAACGCCCTCGGAAACAGCGCCAGCATCTACGGATCCTTCCTCTTTCCCAAGAACGCCACCGACCACAACAGGATGGGCTTCGCCGTCACCATGGCCTTCATGTGCATCGCTGCCGGCATGGCCCTCGTCCTCAAGTACCTCCTCAACAGGTACCCGTACCCCGAGATCGAGCAGGCCAGCGCCGCCCGGGGCGAGGATGCCTACCGCCACGGCGAGACGGCCAGCTACGAGCACAAGGCCTGATCACGTCCCCGGCCCATTTCGTCCGCTCTGCTCTACTGTGCCTTGTCCTGCCCTGCCCTGCTCTGCTCTGCTCATGGACCACCCCATCTCTTTTCCCTGGACCTGTAACGACCGACCCCGGAATGTACTACTAGAACCTAACACCGATGACACACGAATGGATGAGCCTCTCTCTCTGCCCGGCTCGGCGGCGACGACGGCACGGAACCAGGGCGGGCCATACCTCGGCGTGCAAGTGCGGACTCCGCGGCCCTCCCCGTCGTCAACCTGTCCAACCTTCATCGGCCGAGGACGTGCCAAGGCTACATGTGAAGGGATCAGGCTCACGCTCGAGCAGGTGGGAGCGGTCGACCATCAAGCTTCGTCACCCATCGCGGCCGGTCTCCTTTATCCGTGTGCTTGTTGTTCCTCCGCAAGCCTCTTGGTGCGCCGCGATGAAGACGCCGAGCTCAGAGGAGCGACCGCTTCCCGGCCTCTTTCCACCGTCAAGATACCACTGACCGCCCGATCAAACGACGGTGAGAAGCACATGCTCGACGCTCCAAACGCCGATGTGGGGCCAGCTCTCACCAAGCTCCGGTCCGACGGAACGCACCTCATCTTCTGGCCTTGCGTCTATCGGGCTGGAGGCTTGTCATCGTGACCCCAGAACCTTCCAAGAGTCACATGCCGAAATCATATGCCGTGATGAGGGTGCGTCGCCACACGAGCGCGCCGTTCCCGTCCATCCTGACTTCTTCACGCTCTCCCCTCTTGTTTCCTGGCCACCGTGTTTCTTGCCTTGACCAGGAGGCAGAGGCTCCTCAGGGACGGGCCTGCAGCCCAGCCACCCCGCCGAAAATGTCTGGGCAATGCTAGGGCGAGTGAACCATCAGTAAGCCAGACTGCACCGGTCGTGCCGTCGAGCCGGGAACCTTTGGTCTGCAGCCTCTGCACAGAGCCCTCGAAGACGAGGCAATTGCACCCCGACGGCCAGAGGGCCGAGCATGGGCGACATCGATGGGATAAAAGGACGGCGGTGCACCTCGATGGTCGTTCCCATCTCCCATCACAGCAACCCTCTCAACCAGCATCTGACCACCTCCCTCCAAGGCAAGTCCTGCCAGACCTACTCTGCGTCGCCGCGGGTCCCTTGGCCGCCGATACTGACCTGGCCCCCCTGCCTCCTGACCACTCGCCCGCCACAGATGCGTTTCTTCATCGTCCTCGCCATCCTGGCCTACCTCGGCACCGCCATGGCGGCTCACTCGGCCTGGTGCACCGACAGGAAGGACGGAACGGGCCCGGCGAGCTACCGGATCACAAAGGACTGCTGCGCCGCGACCAAGGAGCACAGCACGACCGCCTTCAACGAGGCCAGCACCATGTGCATGGACGCCCTGGGCTTCGGCAACGGCATCAACCTCGGCCGCTTCGTGCGCTGCTGCGGCGACCGCGGTGCCGGTAGCCACTCGGACGGCTGAGCGCCTCGGGTCGGGCGGCGGGACTGCCACCAGGCCCAGGTCCTGGACCACGGCGGGACTAGCCCGTTCCGTCTGCGTCTGAGGTCCTCCTCGTCTTTGCGTCAACGCCGCAAGATGTCCGCCCTGATGACCCGCATATCCCGAACTCCAATGCCCCTGCGTCCAGGCCTCAGCTCCTCGATCGACATCGTCTCTCCTCTTCTCCATGTACCGCGTCTCGTCTTTGCCAGCCGGCGCCGCCTGTTCTTCGGCAGGCGGTGGCAAGTCGAGCCCGCCCTTGCTCCCGCTATCGTGTTCATCCTCGAATCCATGTTTTCATCCATTTGACGAGCTGAACAGCATCTCCGTTCGATGGGAGGATAGGGCAGAGACGCGGCGTAGGGCTGATCCACCGACCAAGTCGAGCTGGCCCGGCTGTCCAGGAGGGGGGCGGCAAGTCTCGCGCGCCTTGCTGCGCCGCTGCCGCGCGTGCACGAACCCACGCCGTCGATTTCTGCCGCCCGTTCTTTGACACCACCACCACCCCCCACAGCCACCACCATCATCATCCTTCGATCACAGGCCCTCCGAGCACGGCCCGCCCTCCGCGAGAAGAGACTATGCGCAGACTGGCAAGCTCATGCGCAAGCTTTGCCTTGATATGACCAGGGGTGCAGAGCCCGTCCTCGCACCTCGAGCTCGACAAGCCGCGGCACGGTCGAACGGCGGCCAGATGAAACGGGGTCGATGAGCAGGCTCAGAGACGCAACAGGAGGGCCCCCGTTCCATCCCGACAAGCTCAGGGTGGGTCACCGCTGCAGTCCCAGCGACCGCCCCCCGGCTGGCTGTCTAGACATAGACAGCAGCAGGCTGGACAGCTCAGGCAGCTCCGTCTCCTGCGACTCCGCGGCCGGTTCACTCACTTCCGCCTCTCGATCCGAGCCAAGGCGGTCTACGACCACGGTTATGGCCCTCAGACTGAACGGAAGGCGTGGCGGCGAAGCTGGTCTTGGCGGCATGGACCGGGTAGGGGATAAAAGGACGGCCCGCATCCCTGTCTCCTCCCCTCCACCATCGCCATCACCAAGCTCTCTCAACCGTTGACCAACGCCCGTCTGTCAGCCACAAGGCAAGTCTTGTCCCAGCATCCACTGCCTCACTTCACCCGCGCAGCTGACCGCGATGCCCCTCCGACCCTCTGCAACGCAGATGCGCACCTCGACCATCTTCGCCATGCTTGCCCTCCTCGGCACCGCCAAGGCCGCCCACGAGGCCTGGTGCACCGCCGCCAAGGACGGAAGCGGCCCTCCGGACCCGCGCTTCACGCCCGTCTGCTGCGCCGTGTCGCAGGAGAGCAAAAACATCCTGTACAACCGCGCCGTCGGCAAGTGCCAGGACAAAGAAGGCCGCCGCGGAACCATCGACGAACGGGCCTTCCAGAACTGCTGCATCGACAACGGCGTCGGCGGCAACTCGGACTGAGCAGAGGTGCCTGGGCGGTCGGCGGGCACCTTTGATGGTCTGCGAGGCGGCCCATCTGGGTCGCTGCCAGCAGTCCATCCGTCCGAGTCCGCTCCGACGACCTGCAGCCGTGAGGGCGGCAGCCACACTTCCTGAGCTCGGCAGCATGCTGGCCCTCGCCGCCACTCTGCACGTCGTCGGCCCAGCCGGTCCCTACACTGCATCCGCGTCTCTTCCTCTCTAGCCCGCGCCGTCCTGGCCCTACCTCGTCGTCCCGACGTTTTCATACTGCCCGCCCGCTCATCGACGGCGGCGCGTCTCGTATCTGCCAGCCGCCGCAGTCGGCTCCCCCGAGCAGGCGGTGGCAATTCGAGTGCGTCCCTCGACCAATCTGATCCTCGTGCTCCTCGTGCTCCATGCCACCGAACCGTCGTGCCCGTGCTGCCCGAGCGGGGCGGCAGGGAGGCAAAGGGGACCGAGCGAGCGGCGCGCAGTGGGGGCGAATTCCACGATCCCGCGAAGCCAGGCGCTCGGACCGCCCGACCATGCATCTTGCTTCGGATTCAGGCTCGCTGCCTTCCTTGCCCAGCCACCACCACCATCGTCGGATCGCCCGTCTTGCCAGCCCAGCTGCCCCTTGCCCATTCGTGGTCGCTTCTGACGCCTGACCGCAATCAGGAGCAGCACGCCTCTCGCTGCTAGCCCCACTCTTGGTAGCCGCCTGCGACACAGCTCCAGCATCGGTTACGGTGTCTGAGCCGGAGCAGGCCGACAGTCGTCTGGGTAGGCTTGCCCCGCGCTCGACAAGTGAGTCCGGAGGGCCGTCTCTCTGCGATCTGCAGTGGAGCACAAGGGGCCGATGACACGCCGGGAAGATCAGGGTGAGCCCCACTTTTGCGCTCTGGGGTTCCTCACCGCGTTCTTGGATACAGGCGGCGGAGCGGGGAGCGCTCTCTGTAGCGCTTGCCCGAGCAGCCGCCACGCAAGCCCGGCACCTCACGGTCGGACTGACGGACACCCGACCCCGCCCCTCTGGAATGGCTGGCGCAGTGATCCTCAACGCCTCGTCTGCCAACGGCGTGGCGCTCTGCGGTGCCGGGCACGAGGAGTTGTTCTTGACCTCGAGCAGAACGAACCGCTTCGTGGCGACAGGCCGATCCGTCATCGGGTGCACCCAACGGGCCGCCTGACCGATGCCATCGGGGACATCCGCCGCCCAGTCTCCACTTGGCCAGCCCTGCGACCGCAACCCGAGGAAAGGTCCGCCCGACGAGCTGGAGGACGAGCAGCTACAGTACCGGCAGCGCCGACCAAGCGAGCTGCAACCGACGATCCTCGCTGGATGCGGCGGCGGGAAGTCGTCGCTATCGAAACGAGTTCGGCGCGGGCCCAAGCAAAGGGGAGAGGGGGAGCCCTGGCCGCCTGCCAAGAAGCGCAGCCAGCATCGACTCGTGCCGCCCAAGAAGGGCGGTTCGAGGCCCCGCCTGGCTGGCGCTCGCCCTTGCCGAAGGGGTGAGTTCCTGCCACACCCGCCGCGCTTGCGTCGAGATCCTCGTTATATCCACGCGGTCGGGCTGGCTGCGACGACGCTAACAGGTCTGGATTGCGGGGCAGCCCGCCGCGTGTGTTTGGCACGACAATGCGCCCTTACCGTAAGCACGGCAGGCTTGGCCGGGGAAGGGGGGAAGACCCTGGGCGGTGGAAGGCCAGGCCAGGCGCGCTTTTCGAAAACTCAAAACAAAGCTCGATCTGGTGGCCCAGCGGGAAGGCAAAGGTGAGCTGCGAGGCAGATCGAGGTGCCTGCCTGCTTGAACTCGAGGTTGAGCTCGATTCGATTCGATGCAGCTGGTGTACGGCGGGGCGCACGGAGCGAGGGCAACCGCCGATGTAGGTTCGGCCTCGCCATCGGCACTCTCACGTACCGGGCCGGTGCCCCTCGTCAAGGCTACGGCGCCGTGGCACGGCAGGACCACGGCGGCCCACCAGGGCGGCCACCTCTACGGCCCGGTCATGTGTATGGCTGGCAGCGGAGATTAGGCGGCTTGACATCATGACGCAAGGCGAGGGGCGAGGCGAGCCTGCGTCGGCAGGTGGTCCTGGCTTGGCATCGCGTTGCGGACGGACACCAACGGGCCGGGATCTGGCATCGTGCGAGGCGCCGTTACCGTACGGCCCTTGCCACGGACGGACGCCCAAGCAGGCTTACGAGACGACGGAGCGTTGACCTGACCTGGCCTGCCATACGACGGGCCGCTCGACCGGCAGGGGGGATCGACAAGGCACAGCCTTTCCGAGCCTCGCCAATCCAAGCCGGGATGCTCAGCCAGCTCGTCGAGACCGCACCAACGCACGCACGCACGTCGGAGACGATGCGGTGCGGTGAGGATCGTCGGACGGGTGAGTGCCCCAATCGATGGGATCCAGGGGGCGGCGAAAGCATCCGCTGTCGAGGAACGTCTCCGTGCGCGATGCTGGGTACCCTTTCGGATCCATCCGAATGGCCGGGATGGGCGAACGCGGCCAGAGCAGGCGAGGCGGGCGTGCCAGGCGAGAGAGCCAAGACATTTCGAGGCGCGTGCGGTCCTGACCTCCCTCTGTTTGCCTGGCTCTCTGCGCAGCCAGGGCGTGCATCGGCTTCGCTCGACGACTTCGGATGGCTGGCTGGCTGGGTGGCCTGGCGAGGCCATCGCCGCAGCGCCACCGTCTTGCGACAAGCGCTCTGCAAAAGCATAACAATGAGCTTCCGGCCATTGTCGCTGGGCCCACCGACAAAGGCGAGCAGTGGCGAGGGGGAGAGCTAAGGCCGTGGGGGACGAGCTTCTATGCCTCCCCGCCTACGCCGGCGACGCATGAACAAGGTCGGCCGTTACAGCAAAGGCAGGCGGGGCGGGGGCTGGCAAGTTCCTGCCGACACGACCCAACGACGCGCTCCCCCCTGGTGCGAGGAGCGGAGCGGACATCGACCTCGCAGCCTGCCAGACGTCATCCTGGTCGGGCTTTCGGACGGCGCAGAGAGGTAAGAGTGCGGCAGGTGGAATCCTGAACCTCGCTGCGAGATTCTTCTCGGCCTCGGCGTGTTGCGTGCGTCCACGCTTACCCCCTTGTCTGCTGTCGGCGCCCTTGGCGTGTCTCTCTCTGTCTCTTTGTCTCTTTGTGAGGCTGCTGCAGCCCTACATACAGCAGCTGCCACACTCACACAAAAGGAAGCGTGGCACTGCGACAGGGACGAGCACAAGCGGATGGGCAAAGCCCGCATAGGGTCGAGGAGGCCTAGCCTGCGTGAAAGACAGGCGAGCCACCGACCGACCGACCGACCGAACGACGAGGATCAAGATTCGGGACCGCACGCCGGGCTGTCGAGCGCCGACGCAGTCGATGGCGATGGGGAAGGCGACGGCGGTCCTGCCGGTGTGCATGCATGCTGCTCATGCTGTCCATCGGTCGTTCGACTTCCCGCAGCACGACGAGGCGGGCAGGCGGTGCGGCGGTTCGATATCGACAGGCAGGCAGGCGTGGATCTACTCTCTCGCCCCACTACGCCAAGCCTTGGTTCGGGGCGAAGGGTGGGCAGGGCAAGGTACAGCTTCGGCTCATCATGTCAGCAGGCCAGGTCGCACCTGGGCACCGCCACGATGGATACCTCGAGAGGCGGCTGGCTTCGTGCGCATCCTCTGGCGGAGCTGCGGCTGGCTCCGGACCGGCGAGCGGGCTGGCTGGTGCTCGAGGAGGCCGATTCGGCCGGCCTGTTCCACGGAGACGAGCAAAGGGCAGGTCCAGATCGGCTTGCTTTGCCTTCTCGTCGTCGCCGTCGGCAGGTGGGCGGTATGTACGTACACCCACCCATGCTGGTGCGAGCGAGGGGCCTGGCCTGCTGGTTGTCGCTGATGGTTCTCGCTCGTTGTCTCTCGCTTGCCTCTCTGTGAGATCCAGCGAGCAGCAGGTTGAGCGCAAGTCTCTCTTCGCGGCAAGTCCCTCCACTTTGAGCCAAGCTCGAGCCAAGCCTGCCAGGCCGCTCCACCTCTTCCCCCCTCTTCCCCTTCTCCTCGCCTGCCATCGTGACACGCTTGGCCTACCCCTCCTCGACCACCACGAGGTCGTTTCTGGAATGCCACCGAAGGCACCACAGCGTACGGGTACGTCTCTCCCCCCCCCTCCTCCCCTCTTCTCACCGCCCGCCCTCCTCCTGGTGCCTGTACCGACGACGATCCGCCCCGTCCGCCCGCTAGTCTTAGCCAAGCCAAGCCGCTCGCCTGCCTTCAGACACCACGGCATGGCCCTCCCCCCCCTGCTCTCCCTGCCCCTCCTCGCGGCAGGGCGTGCCAAGTCCTGTACAGGCGACCGGCCTCTGCCCTCGCAGTATGCCAGAGTCTAGGCTGGCGGCCAGTCCAGGTCCGTCGATCGTAATCCAACGCCAGCTTCCCATCCCCGTGCCCGCAGCCCGAATGGCGCGGACCATATAAGGTGCCCAGCCATCCGCTGCACCGCCTATCTTCGACCCCTCATCTGAACCTCTGTCGCTTCACCTCGGCGCTCACTTCTACGCCTTCTCCTCGTCGCTACAGCCCTCGACGCACCCACCACCACCACCACCACCACCACCACCACCTCCTCACCCGTCTCGACATGCAGTTCCTCAGCACCGTCCTCGTCGCCCTCACGGCGGCCGCCGGCGTCATGGGCCAGGGCGGCGACGCCAACGCGTTCGCTACCGGCCTCCTTGACGCCCTGAGGCAGAACAACCTCACCCAGCTCGCCAGCGCCGTCGAGGCCAACGCCGCTGCCCTCGTGAGTGTCCGAAAACGTCGAGCCGGCGGCCCCCTTTTCTCTTTGGGGGACGCTTCGGCAGCGCCTGCGCGTTTGCGCGTCTCACGGTCCGCCGCGCGCATCCCGAGCTGACCCTCGTGCGTCTCTCCTCTTCTTCGCCGCGTCGTCAGCTGCCCGCCCTTGCCAGCGCCGGCAACAAGACCGTCCTTGCCCCGAGCAACCAGGCCATCCAGGCGCTCGGCAACGTCGACCAGAACACGCTCGTCAACACGATCGCCTACCACGTCCTCAACGGCACCTACAAGGTCGACCAGCTCATGGCCGGCCAGCACACGATCGCCGCCACGGCGCTCAACAGCAGCGAGTTTGTCAACCTGCCCGGCGACCGGCCCCAGGTGGCCGTGCTGAGCAAGGCCATGGGCAACAACACCGCCTTTGTCTACCAGGCCGGCCGCAACGTCTCGTTCGCCGGCGCCATGGACGGCCCCATGTACCAGAACATCCTCGTCCAGCCCATCGAGCAGGTCCTCATGGTGCCCGGCAACGTGTCGGACGTCGCCGGCATGATTGGCGTCTCGCAGCTCGTCCAGCTCCTCCAGAGCGCCAACCTGGTCGAGGCCCTCGACAGCATGCCCGTCACCGTGTTTGCGCCCAACAACGCCGCCATCCAGGCCGCCCAGTCGACCATCATGGCCGCCACCCCGGAGCAGCAGGTCGCCGTGCTGAGCAACCACTACATCCCCGGCAGCGTCGTCTACTCGACGGCCATCAAGGACGTCCCCAGCGCCACCTCGGGCAGCGGCCAGGAGCTCAAGTTCATGGCCAACGACACGGGCGCCTACGTCATGAGCGGCAACGTCACCGCCAAGATTGTCCGCACCGACTACGTCGCCGCCAACGGCGTCGTCCACGTCATCGACAACGTCCTCCTCAACACGATGAACAACCCCGCCGCCGCCTCGTCCGCCGCCGCCTCGGCCGAGTCGGCCGCCGCTACCCAGACCGCGCAGCCCGGTGTCGGCACCGGTGGCAACGAGAACGCCGGCTCGGGCATGGGCGGCGGCATGGGCGGCGGCTCCAACGAGAACGGCGCCATGTCGACGGCCAAGATCGGCGGCGGCGCGGCTGCCCTCGCCATGCTCGCCTCGGGCATGTGGCTCCTTGCCTAAGTCGACTGAGTGGCCGGCGGTAGAAGCGCGATGCGTCCTTTCCTCGCCCCTCCTCTCTCTCGCCCTCTCTATCTTTCCCCTTTGATACCTCTGCGCTCCGTCCTCGGTCGACTGTCTGTACGGCGGCGGATCGACGGCGGGACCCACATCGACCTTTCTCCCCCTCTCCCTCCTCCTCCTCCTCTCTCGTATCGATCCGATCCCATGCGTACCATGGACTCAACCACCGCCCCCTTCTCCCCCACCTCATTGTATCATGACCATCCGACCTCGAATTGGAATGACTACCCAGCAATGCTGTCCCTCTGATCGTGGTTCCGGGGTGCGGCACGCAACGGCGGTCGTGGTGTGCGCAAGTTGATGCGCTCGACCGCTTGAGCTTTTCTGGCGTAGACGGGGTCGGCTGCGGACGGGACGCGAAAATGGCCAAAGACGCGTTCGAAGATGCCGCCATGCCGAAATCGACTCGGGGCACGGTTTCCAGAGCGACGGCCATTACGCCATTGCATTCAGAGCCGCTCAGCATGTAGTCGAGGGCCGGGCGGATAGGGTGGCAGCGCCGAATTGCGCCAATGACACGTCGTCGCGGCGCAACGGGGCGAAAAGGGCGCGGACGCGTCTCGAAAAACGGCGTGAAAACGGTCCTGGAAAACCCCTTCCTGCAAGGATAGACGCTCTCTCCGCTACGCAACGACGTCGAAAGTGGCATCGACATGTTCTCCTCCCTCTCAGCTGCTGAACGATGTGGATGGGAGGCTGTGCGGATACGAACTCGGAGCGGGACCGAGGCGAAACGCATCGAGGTCGTCTTGGGCAAACGCGTGCGGAAACGCAGTCGGGCTCGCGTCTCGTCCCCTTTTCACGGCGGTACGATATGCGTTGGTGCTGAGGGGGCATTCTTATCTTCTCCTAGACCCGCCCTACCGTCCTAGCCTGGTTCGACGGTCATTGCGTACCAACTCGCCGAGTACGGGCCTCGAAACCGTTTGGGGACGCGTTTCGAGCTCGACGACTGCGGCCGCCCCGCCATATGCATGGTGCGCTTGCCCCCCCCCGCCCTTTTTTTCCGCCCGCACCGTCGAGCCGTCCCCCCGAGGTTCTACGCCGCTGTCCCCTGCCTTGCTGGGGGTTGGAGACTGCACAGACCGACGACCTTGGACGGCGCCCTCTGCGCCTGGCCGTGCTACGAACGGGGCCTGGCCTGCGAGATGCTTCGAAAGTTGCATCATCCAAGGGGCGCTTCTAGCTACCTGCCTCTCCACCACCACGGCCGCCGCGCACGCACGCGCACACAGACGCACGCACTCCAGCACACACACACAGCTCGGAGCCAGCCACATCCCCGCTCGCTCTGTCGAACATGCTCGTTGCATTGCCGGGCATTCCACCGGCCCGCCTGTTTCGCCTCGTCTCGCCCGTTAGGCCTTGCCGGCGCTGCCGAGCAGGTGGAAGAAGCGCGAGCAGGCCTTAGCAAAGGCGTCCATGCCGCCGTCGTAGACGTCGTTGAGGCCCTGCTTCTCGAGGTGGGCGGCCCAGTAGCGGACCTGCGGGTCGCGGGCCCACGAGTTGACGTTGATCTTTACGCAGCCGCGCTCGACGCACTGGCGGAAGAGCGAGTCCGGCAGCTCGTCGGTGCCGTGCAGGACAATGAGGGCGTCGCAGGGCGTCGAGGGCCCGACGGCGGCCTGGAGCTCGTCGAGCAGCTCGAGGCGGAAGTCGGGCGGGTTGACATAGGGCCCGTGGATGTTTCCGATGCTGGGCGCCAGCAGCTCGACGCCGAGCGCCGAGAGGAACTTTTCCGCCTTTTCCGGCTTGGTGAGCGCGCCCTCCTCGATGGTCTGGACGCCCGCCTCGCCTCCCGCCAGGCGACCGAGCTCGACCTCGACGGCCATGCCGAGCCTGGAGGCGCGCTGGCAGTAGGGCGTGGCCATCTGGATGTTTTCCTCGTCCGAGTCGTGGTGGGAGCAGTCAATCATGATCGAGTCGACGGCGGCGCCCTGGTCGGCAAAGTCGAGGACGCGCGAGATGTCTTCGTGGGTGGCGGCGTGGTCGACGTGGACCGAGATGGGCACCTTTGCGGCGTGGCAGGCCGACACGACGAAGCGGACAAAGTGGATGCCAAACTGGGCCATGGTGACGGGAAAGAGCTGGGCAATGGCCGGCGAGTTTGCCGCCTCGGCCGCCCGGATCAGGGCGACGACGCTCTGTGCGTCTGTGCAGCGGGGCGGGCCAAGGAGGAGACGACGAGGGGCGACAAGAGGAGGGACGAGGGGCGACAAGAGGAGGGACGAGGGGCGAGAAGAGGAGGGACAAGGACCGGTCAGGGACGTCGATCAAAGTCACCGAGGGCTGCATGCGAGTGTGGCCGAGCAGCGCAGCGAAAGACGACGTACCATAGCAGCTCTGGGCGAGGATGGCGTACTTGCCCTTGGAGGCGTTGCGGAGGATCTGGAGGGTGAGGTTGTCGTTGTTGGTCATCGTGGAGCGGGGACAGCAGCGGGGTTGGATAGAGAAGGGATGGTGGTGGTGGTCGGGTGGGTGGCCGTTTGGCTCGCAGCGAGGCCTGTCTTGTATTCGGTCGGCCGTCGAGTTGATCGGGGTCGTCCGTCTGCCGGAGTGAGTGAGTGAGTGTTGGTGAGGTAGGTAGTAGCCTGAGCTAGAGCGCTCTGGCCAGACCGGCCACCAAGGCGGCGTCTAGGCAGGCGGGTCGATGCCCTCCCCCAGATGCGGGGGTCGTGGAGGTGGGAGAGAGGCTGTGGGAGAGCCCAGCCAGCCAGCCAGTGCCAGACAGCCAGCCAGCAGGCCAGCAGGCCAGCAGGCCAGGCCAGGCGAGCGCGCTTTGGCCCCCCCAAAACTTGGCCCGCCAAGCGGGGGCCGTTGGGGGCCCGCACCCCCAACCAATCCCCTCCGCTTCATTCCGGGTTCCTTCTCCTTCTCGTTCGCCATCTACCACCGCCACCCGACCATCGTCATCCTATCCCCCTTGCACCGCCACAGCGCGACCGCATTGCATTGCCACCCTCGGCGTCATGCTGCTCGCTCCACGACGACGACGACGACGACGCCGTCCTCGCCCTCGCCCTCGAACCTGCCACGCCCTTCGCGCGGGCACATCCTAGCTCAATCCACCCCTCGCTTACCCCCCGATCGACCGCAGAGATGATCCAGTGCCACCTCTGCCCGAAGCGATACGCGCGCCACGAGCACCTCAAGCGCCACATCCAGTCGTCCCACGAGTCTTCCAGGCCCGGCGAGGGTCCCCGCTCCTTTGCCTGCGATGTGCCCGGATGCGACAAGGTCTACCGCCGCTCCGACGTACTCGCCCGACACAAGGCCGGTCACAGCCGCCCGCGGCCCGATAGTGACAGCCCAGAGTCGCCTGCAAACAAGCGCCAAAGGCACTCGGACCACCACCCAGCTGCTTCAGGCCCAGACCATCGCAGCAGCAGCATCAGCAGCAGCATCGGCAGCGCTCACGGCCATCCCAGCGATCAACACTCGGGCGCTCCTGAAGCAGGCGGCCAACTTGCCGCCCGCCAGTATCAGGAGGGCGCCGCGAACCACCAAGATACCCCCGCGCATGCCCCCTTTGCACTGCCTTCGACGCCTTCCGAGCCTCTCTTCGTCCACCAACGGCCAAGCCAGGTCGCAATGTCGCCAGGCTACGAGGGCCCGAATGGAGCCAATCCATCGCCGCTGGCCTACCCGCGGCAGCAGCATCCACAGCAGCAGCAGCACCACCACCACCACCAAGCGCTGCAAGCCTCGGTAATCGATGTGGCTGGCCCAGGTCTGCATCGTCCCCAGGGTCAGCCCGTTCCGCTGCAACCAGCAGCGGCCGCGGCCGCCCTGCCGCCGACGTTCACCGACTTTTGCACCGCCGGCTTTGGCCAGCCAGACGTCGCCTCGGCGACCGGCCCGCCCATGTACGACTTTGCAGCCGCATCGACCTCGGCCGGCCCCAGCTTCGGCTGGGACGCGCTCGACTATGGCAACCTCACCGCCCTCGACTGGATCCTCGACGACATCCGCGGCGACGGTGCGGCCAGCGTCGCCGGCGCATCGACCCTTTCGGGTGTCCAGGCGTCCAACTTTGGCGACGACGACGAGGGCGCACCGCCGCTCGACGACTTTGGGCCAACGCCGCCCGCCGGCTTCAACGTCTTCGGACCCACACCCGCCGCGGGCACCGACCCGACCGAGTCGCTCAACCTGCTCAACCTCGCCAACACGGCCATCTCGACCGCCTTGCCTGCATCAGGCGCTGCTGCGACGCCCGCGCCGGGGGCCAATGGCAACGGCGCATCGACGGCCAGGGCTGGCCGCAGCGACGACGAAGAGGGCGAGTGGCCCCAAGAGTACCGACCGATGCGCAGCAAGCCGCCCACGATCGAGATCTCCGACTATCTCCTCGACGTCGAGGTCGAGCCCGAGGCGGCCGAGGGGCGCGGCGCCAAGACGGCCGCGAAACCGGCCCGGACGCGCGGGCCCTACATTCCCTTTGTGCTCATCGACGACGACTCGCCCGAGGGGCCGCCCGGGCGGTCAACGTCCCACGGCATCGCCTCTGCCTCGCCCCTGTCCGCCTCGACCCAGTCGCCCTCGCTGCCGTCCTGGCCAGACGCCGCCGCCCCCTCGGCCACGCTGCTGCCGCCGCCTGGCCGCAGAGTCGACGCGCAGACGCGCCTCAAGCTGCTCGACTACCTCCGCCACGCGTGCCGCCACCCGTGGTCGCTCTACTCGTTTGCCACGGCGCCCGACGGCTTCCTCACGTGCGTCCAGCTCGAGACGCTCGTCTCGCTCTACTTTCGCAAGTTCCACCCGTACCTGCCCATCCTCCACCCGGCGTCGTTTGACTGCTCGACGGCCAGCCCCGTGCTGCTCCTCATCCTCGTCACCGTCGGCCTCGTCTTCTACGCCACCGAGATGCAGGCGCGCGGCGGGCTGCCGGCCAGTGTGGCGCGGCTGCGGAAGCGCACCTCGGTCCTCGCGCCCGCCTTTTCCGAGCTGGCGCGCATCGGCATCATGTCGGCCTTTGAGGCCGACCAGCGCGGCTTCCAGGACGTCGGCATCAACACGGCCTGGGTCATCCAGCAGACGTTTGGCGTCGGCTCGGGCGACAAGCGCCTCTACAAGCTCGCCGAGCGCAACCGCGGCGGCATGGTGACGGCCATCCGCCGCCTCGGCGTGCTCAACATGCCCGACGTCCGCCTCGACTTTGGCGGCGCCGGCGCCGCCCCGCCGCTCGACGACCACCTGCTGGAGCGCTCGTGGCGCGCGTGGATCGAGCGCGAGCGCCGCATCCGCCTCGGCTGGTTCGTCTTCCTCTACGACCAGATGTTTAGCTGCTTCCTCGACATCTCACCCATGCTCCTGTACACCGAGGTCACGTCGCCGTTCCCGTGCGACGAACCCCTCTGGAACGCCGCCACGCCGCACGAGTGGTACCGCCGCATCCTCGGCCGCTCCGAGGGCCAGCGCGCACCCAAGCCGTCGTTTACCGCCTCGCTCGAGCAGCTCCTCGACCCGCGGCGCGGCCGAGCGGCGGCGGCGACGGCGACGGCGACGGCGGCAGCCAGCACCCCTCCCCTCCGCCTCAACCGCCTCGAGGCGTACATCCTCGCCGTCACCTTGTATCGCATCCGGTGGGACTCTAGCAAGCGCTCGGTCCTGTTTGGCAGCGAGGGATTCGCCTTTGCCGACGAGGCACGGTTCGCTGCCAGTCCTGGCGGGCGGACCTGCGACGGCGTCGACACCGATGACGACGACGACGCCGTTGGCAGGCCGCGCGGGTCCAGACGGGCCAGACAGCCGGCTCGGATGGTCACGATCGACGGCGCGGCCTCGAACGCGCTACAGGGCCTGGCCGAGGCGGCGTCGTGGGCCACGCTGTCGCTCACCTCGTCCGGCCTGGCGCGCACGCCGTCGGGCTCGCCCAGCCTGGCGCTCAGCATCGACGTCCAGCTGCTGCGGCTGCTGTCCAAGCTCCACTTTACCGGCTCGCCCGCGTTTTTCGACAAGGTGAGTGCCGTGCCGTGGATGAGCGCCATGGACTAGGCCATCGCAGCGCGCCCCGACGACCTGCCGCTGAACATCTCCATCCCCTCTCCTCCGCTTCTCCCTCTGGCACCGCGCGGCGCCGCCAGCTCAAGGACGCGGCAGGGCGCTCCGGCATGACATCGGCGCGGCGGGCCGAGGCGATCCAGGCGCTCGAGCGGTGGATGGGCGACCCGAACCACCAGGTGGCGATGCGGACGATGCTGCTGACGTCGGCGCAGGTCTACCATCTGATCCGCACCTCGCTCGACGCCAGCGCCACCAAGCCCGACGTGCTGGTGCTGCAGAGCAACGTCTGCACCGTCAGCCTGTTCCACGCCGCGCTCGTCATGTGGGCGTGCTCCAAGTTTGCAACGCCGCCGCCGCAGCCGCAGAACGGCGCGGCCGGCGACGTGGGCGACGGGCCAGCGGCACCTTCCGACGGCGGCCACGATCGTCGCTGCGATAGAGTCGAGCAACGGCAGCCTAGTCGCGAAGATGACGGCGGCGACGGCGATGACGATGACGACGAGGCGATCCGCCTCTACGCGAGCAGGCACGACCTGCCCTGCCTGTCGCCGTCGAGGACACGGGCTCTCGAGGGGATTGGCGTGCTGGATCTCGTGGGATCGGGCAGCAGCAGCGCCGGGCTCTCGCCAGACGACTGGCAGGACCGCAGCGGCCCAGACGAGGGTGGCGCGGGCGATGGCGCTGGCGGTGCCGACGCCATGGGCCATGCCCGCGCCATCGAGGCGTGGGTCCACGGCGCGTACATCTCGTCGGCCGACGGCACACCCCGGCGCTGGGCGGCGGCCCAGTCGCTGGCGGTGCGGGTCCCAGGCATCGGCGAGCTGCTCGGACCGCCGCAGAGCGCCATGTCGAGCCGGCGAGGCAGCATCGCTCCATCCACGGCCGAGGGTCTCTTTGGCCTGTCTTTGTCGTCATCTCCTTCTCCGTCATCGTCAGCAGCGGCCACGGCGGCGGCGGCGGCGGCGGTGGCGGTGGCGGCGAGGGCAGTCGAGAGCGACAGGCTGGTTAAGGCGTCGCGGATCCTGCAGCGGTTTGCGTCGCTGCTGCGCAAACTCGACTGGGGTCTGGCGGCGTCGTTTCGCACGATTCTTCTCCACATGGCCAGGTACGAAGCGAGGACCGGCGCCGCCGCCGGCAGCAGCAGCAGCGGCGGCGGCGGCGGTGGGCGCGGAGCGGCAGGGTGAAGTTCCAAAGGGGAGCAAGGCGTGGCATGCGGAACAAGTGGTGGGTGGCGTCTGTGATATACCCCCCGGTGGTGCAGGACGGCAAAGGCCGTATCGGATGTCGGTGGTCTAGAGGTGGTCGCGTACGAGCCAGTGTGCTGCGATCTCGCCCATTGGTTCGCCGTGGTCTGCCCGGCGAGCGAGCAGGAGAGAGCAGAGGGACGACGGCGATGACGGTGTGAGCCAAATGGACTCTCCTCAATGCCGCCTCCTGGCGTCTCGACGACGCCGACTCGACTCACCGAGACAAAAGGCATGGGGCATGCCGAGTTTGCAGATGGTCGAAGTCGCTCGGGCCTCGACGTCTGCGGCGAGACCGGTATTGGCACGGCTGCGTCGTCGCTGTCCTTGTCCTTGTCCTTGTCGCTGCAGACCGTCGGGGGATCGAGCGTCCTCGCCGCCGCTGTCACTGTCACCATCGCTGTCGCTGTCGCTGTCGCTGTCCGGGACGGTGGTCTCAATGACAATCTCGCCCGTGGGCTTCCTCCTGGCCTTGGCATGCTGCAGCTTGGGCATCGTCGCGCTGGCCGAGCGGTACTCGGACAGCGAGAAGGAGCGGGTGCGCTGCCGTTGCTGGCCTCGTCGTCGTCGTCGTTGCTGCGGCGACGTCAGGGTCGACGACGACGACGACGACGGCGTCGTCGTCAACGGCTGCGGCGACGTCGGCAATGGCGAGGGCGACGAGGGGGGCGACTCCGAGAGCGGGGATGCGACGAGGTTGGTCGAGCTGCGGCCGTTGGAGAGGGCCGGGTTGGTGTGGAGCTCGGTGGGCAGGTGGATGCGTTGCAGGCTCAGCTCCGCTTCCACCTGCGACCGCAGCCAGGCGGGCGCCCAGCCGTCCTCGTCGCCGCGGCTCCAGTAGGTCCGGAGCACCTTGGCCCTCTCGCCCTCGCTGCGCCGCGCGGCGGCAAACGTCGTGACGGCGTGCTTGACGTCGGCCTGGAGGCTCTTGATCGTCTTCATCTCGTCGGCCGCCATGCGGATGGCGTTGCGCACCGCGCCGGGCGTGCGCAGCAGGTCGACGGTCGACGTGACGGCCACCTTGGGCTGCGACGTGAGCAGCCTGACGAGGGGCACGAAGAAGGCCAGGGGGATCAGCGAGAGGAGCAGGAGCGGGAGCGGCAGGAGCAGCGTGTAGAAGAGCGGGTGGAAGAGCGGGCGCAGCCGGCGGCCGTTTGGCGTGTTTGCGATCCAGCTGAGCGTGGGGAAGAGGAGGTGGAGGCCGTCGACGGCGTCCGGGCGCGCCTTGAGGATCTGGGTGCAGATGTAGGCGCCGACCGAGTGGCCGCAGAGGACCAGCTGTGTGTCTCCGCCGTCGTCGCCGTCGCCGTCGTCGTCGCCGCCAGCGTCATCGCCGCTACCAGCCCGGTGCTGCCTGGACGGGTATCGCTTGCGGATGGCATCTACAGCGGCGATCTTGTGTCGGATCTGGTCGTTGAGGGTGGTGCCGTAGCCCCTAGCGGCATCGCGCATGCTCTCCTCGTTGTCGCCCCACACGGGGTGGGAGCCCTTTGGCAGCGGGGCATGGCCGCGGTGCGACACGGCGAGGATCTCGATCCTGGAGCGGAGCGCCGGGTGCTGGTGGATGGTGGACAGGAAGGGGATGTAATACGAGGCGAGGCCCGGGTTGCCCGGCACAAAGAGGAGGAAGATCTTGGGCGCGCCCCGCGAGGTGCACGGCCACCAGAGCGCGTGCGCCCCGGCAAAGGTCGTCGTGAGCGGCGTGCTGAGGTTCGACGAGAAGGAAAACGAGAGCGGCGGCGGCATGTTCGGGCAGGCAGATGGGGGGTCGGGATGGGCAAGCGGCGAGGTCTAGGGGCCGTGGGTGGCGTCGTCGGTGGTGGTGGTGGTGAGGAGGGGGAAGGGGCGGTGCGGCGAGAAGAAACTGCCGGCTGCCTGCCAGCCCAAGAGAGAGGCGAGGCTTGGGAGCCCTGACTGATGCCAGGCGGGCCTCCCGCTCGCCCGCTCGCCCCAGCGCCGGCCAAGCCGAAACAGGCCGAGAGCAAAGTGGGGGTGTGGAGGGCGAGCGGCGAGCGGCGAGCGTGGGAAGCGCGCACGGGCCGCCTCAGCCCTTCGTTGGCCAGCAGAGCGCGAGGGGCGCCACCAGGCGGGGATGCCGCCACCCTGGCCGGGCCTCCGAGGTCCTGACCGCCCGGCAGACACGCGTGCCGACTGCTGCAGAGCGTCATCCGTGGTCGTGGCGAGAGAGATTGGGCCGATGGCTAAAAGTACAGGCTGTGCGAGGAGAGGCGAGTATGCGGGGCCGTGTATGCTCGAGGAAAGAAGCTGCGAGGAGATGGGACCGAGACGGGACGAGACGAGGGCGGAGGGGACGAGTGCGCAACGGGCGGGCGGCTGCCGTTCGAGCTCACGCTTTGGCCTCTTTGCGGCTGCCGCCCTTGAACAGCTTGCCAAACACCGAGTCGCGCTTCGACGACCGGTTGCCGCCGCCGCCGCCGCCGCCGCCGCTGCTGCTGCTGCTGGCGGCGTCGCCGGCCCTCGACGAGGCGCCGCTCAGCACTCGCTGCAGGTGCAGCTTGCTCTGGCCGAGGACCGAGGGCGGCGGCGGCGACGATGACGGCGTGGCATCGACCTCGGCCGTGGTCAGCGATGACGGCGCCGACGTGGCAGGCGTCGACGTCGTCGGCTTGTGCGAAGAGGCCGAGGCGTCTGAATCCACGCTGCCAGCGCGCTCCATCTGGCCGTCCGCCGTCGTCGTGCCCGTCGCAGCATGCGAGCCCGCCGCACGTGTCTCGGTGGCGACAGCTCCCTGCTCGCCCGCGGTGCCAGGAACCGCCTCGACCCCGTCTGCGATGTCGAGAGGAGCGATGTCGACGTCGCTCGGCAGCGCCGCCGACGTCTGCGGCGTCGACTTTTCCCCGATCGGCTCCAGGGAGGACGCGGCGAGGGCGCTCGGCCCTTCGGCGCCTGCACCTGCACCTGCACCCGCATCGCCGCTCGCCTTGGACCCGTCGTCCTTGTTCTCAAACGAGACCGACTTGCGGTGGCCGATGCCGCTCCGCCGCTTGCCCCAGCTGTTGGCGTTGAGCTCTCGTCGATGGTGATCCTGCCGTGCGAAAGCCGCAGTGCGAACGGGCAGGGACCGGTCAGCTGCGTCCCAGCTTGACGTCATCGGCCTGGAGGAACACGGACTGCGGTCACTCACATCGTTGTCGCTACCGCCGCCGCCGCCGCCGCCACCACCACCGCTGCTGCCCAGCCGGCGGAAGAGGCTCTGCGAGAGCGAGTGGATCGAGTCGTCGTCCTCCTCGGTGGCGAGCACGTGCTGCCCGTCGATCGACACCAGCTTCGTCGAGCGCACCGAGCCGTGCGGCGAAGGCAGCGAGACGACGCCGGTAAAGTTGCGGAAGGGATCCGTCTTTTCCACGCCGGGCGTCGGTCCGCGGCTGCTGATCGAGCCAAAGTCCCACGACATGCACTCGCGCGTCGAGATCATCGACGGTTTCCGCCGCCGCTCCTGCCTCTGGGCAAGCGGCGGCAGCCCGGCTGGCTCGGCGTGAGATGAAAGGAGCACGGGTCAGGACGATCAACGACCGGTGCGTGGCGCCTGGGCCTCGATGCAGTCTCGCTGCTCACCGAGGATCGCCGTGATCAGGTACTTGGGTGGCTTCGCCTGCTTGAAGAAGGCGTGCCCGAGAAGCTTGTCCGCGCTCGGTCTGGCGGGAAGATCAGGGCAAAGGCGGGCGAGCAGCGCGTCGTCAGTGTCTCCTCCTGCCACCTCGACGTCGCCTGGCGGGCGAGCTGCCGCTGCATGCCGCCTGCTCACCTCTTGGCCGGGTCCTTTTGCAGGCAGACGCGCACAAAGTCCTCCATCGTCTTGGAGTACTTGTTGGCGTTGCCGTTGCGGTCGAGCTGCGGCGGCTCGTCCTGCATCGTGCGCATCAGCACCTTGACGGGGCTGAGGCGCGAGTTGGGCGCCCGCCCCTGTGCCAGCTCCAGGGCGGTGATGCCAAAGCTCCAGATGTCGGCTGCGTGCGAAGCAAGGGCAGTCGACGCGGGCATCCATGGGCTCGATCAGCGTCCCAGCCCCGGCCCGCGGGTATGCGCAAAAGGCTCGACAGCGCCAGCTGTGGCTGGACGCACCTTTGGTCCCGTAGTGTTTCCGCTCAATGACCTCTGGCGCCATCCAGCACGGCTGTGGCGGGGATCGCAGCGCGAGCGAGCCCAATCGTCAGCACGTGGCTCTGAACCCTGAGCATGCCGCCGCCGCCGCCGCCGCCGCCGCCGCCTGACTCACTGTCCCGACGAAGCTCTTGCGCTTGCCCTCGGTCGAGACCGGGTTCGACGACTTTTCGCTCTCGCCGACAAACACGCCCACGCCAAAGTCACCGAGGAGGACCGTCCCGTCGTCGTCGACGAGCATATTGGCCGCCTTGAGGTCGCTGTCGGCGCGGAGGGTCAGATGGCAGAAGGCAGAATGCGATGCGATGGTCGCAGTTCAGCAAGATGGGCACGCGGGGCTGCCGAATGCGGCCCAGACAGGCTCGACACCGGGCGCCACACCCACCGATGGAGCCAGCCGTTGATGTGGAGGTAGTTGAGGCCCTCGAGCGCCTGCTTGAGGACGGTGGCGATGACGGTCTCGTCGAAGCCCTCTGGGCTGGAAAACTTCATAATGTCGAGCATCGACCCGCTGTTCATGAGGCGGCTGGCGATGTGGAGCTTGGTGCCCTTGACCCAGCAGCCGCGCACGCGTAGGACGTTTGGGTGCTTGGAGAGCGACATGAGCTGCGTCTCGCGGCGGAGCTCCTCGGTATCGCGGCCGTAGGCCTCGAGGTCGATGACTTTGATGGCGCACGCCTTGTCGAGCGGCTTGAAGACGCCCTGGTGCACGACCGACGAGGCGCCAAAGCCGATCGTGTCGCCCATGATGTAGTCGTCGCCGTTGGCGGAGTACATGGGCTGCGAGTGCGGCGGCAGACGCGCGGAGGCAGGAGCAAGAGGGGGGGAGCGAGAGCGAGGCGTCAGCCATCGTGGAAGCCGCGACGTCGAGACGGCTCCGATCACGGTGGCACAAGGAGACCCACCCAGTCGTCGACGACGGAGCCCAGGTGCAGGGCGGCGCGCATCTTTCCGGTCCTAGACGTGTTCCCGTCGCGCTCCCTGTCCCGATCTCTGTCGCGGTCGCGGTCTTTGTTGGTGTTTCTCGGGCCCAGGACGGGCGAGAAGCCCTTGAGCGATCCGGGCGACGACGACATGGTGCCGTGCCGCGGTGTCGCCAGTGGATCGGCTGCCCTTGAAGGGGGCTGCTCCTGGTTCGATCTAATGGGACGGAAGAGCCGGCCGGTGCTAGTTTGGCGAGCGCGAGGTTCTGCTCTGGCCGCCAGAGTACCGGAACGGAGCCTAAGCTTGCTTGGTCGAGCGGGTAGTCGCAGTCGGAGCTGGGCTTGGGCTGGTCGGCGGCGTGCAGGTGAGCCAGGCGGGTAGCGGTCAGCCACAGCACGTAGTAGCCAGCGATGAAACCGAGTCAAGCAGGCAAGGCGTGATTCGCGGTGGTGGTGGTGGTGGTGGTGATGGTGGTGGCAGGCGGAGAGTCCGAGGCCGGTGCTCGAGGAGGCAAGGTAAGTGAAGGCTAGCGGTCGGTCTGGGTCCGCCGGATAAGAGGCCAGGCCTTGCCCTGCGTGCCAGGCCTACCTCTGCGCGCGCCTTGGCCCTCCTAGCCTGCTGGGCCCTTGAAAACGTGGAGGTCGCTTCGTCGGGCTGCGGGCCGACCCGACCAGAGCCAGGCTCACGCACGCCCACGCACGCACGCACCCGCCCTCTGCCTGCCTGCCTGGCCTGCCTGTCTGTCTCCCCCCGCCTGTTCCTCCAGACGAAGATCGCAGAGTCAAGGCATGTGCCTGCCTGACGGTGTCTTTGTTCTCTGCTGGCGACAAGGCCGACACCCACGTCGGCAGATGACATGCTGGTGAAAAGGGGCCAGCGCAGCGCAAGCCTCCAAGCAACTATCGCACACACGTCGGATGCGCCCGCCGCTTCCTCATGCAGCTTCAGGAGCGACCTGCATATCCCTCTGAGCCGAGGCGGCGGCGCCGCTACGCGTGGCGCCCCGACTGGCCGGCCTGGCCGGGGCCTGCCATCGCCTGCTCGCCGGTCCTTGGCAAGAAGGCAGACAGGCTAGGCCGGGCTCAACCTGCCAAGATGGCGCGTCGAGTCCAACACCGCGCGCCCCTCACCTTTGCTCTCGATCAACGAGCTGCCCGCTGCCCCCCAGCGCGCTCTCGAGGGGCGAAGGCGGGGTAATGCAACGCTCGAGGAGGTGGGTGGGTCGGCGCGCTTGTACGTTGCCAGGCTGCGCCCCAGCCCCTCGGGCCTCTCTAGCTGCTGGGCGACGTCCGGCTCCGCTCCGATCCGACGGGCGCCTGCTCCAGGGCGCGCAAGGCAAGCAAGCAAGCAAGGCAGGCGAGTCGTCGAGCGCAGGTATCGGTCAAAGCAGCATCCCGGCAGCACTCGAGGACGACGGGCAAGGCTCAGCCTAGCCTTTCGGCGCGGTGAAAGCCGTCGAGTGTCAATCAACCTCTTTCTACCACCTGACCGGTCGAGGACGTGCATCCAAGTAGGTGGCGTGTGGGCCGGGCCGGGCCCCGCTAGACCTGCTTGCACAGGCTCCTGCCGCTGGCCACCTGCCGGTTGCACAGGTCTACCTGGAGCGGCATCGAGACGAGCGAAGCGACCAGGATGCCCAGGCTGTCGCCAAACTGTCGCGACGGTGCGTCGAGGATGGGAGATGCACAACAGTCAGAACAGCGGCGCGCGCGCAGCAGAGAGCGGCAACGCAATCGTCAGCGACACTTGCTCCTGCTCCCGACAAGACGGTCTTGATCGCAACGCAAGAACCCAGCAGGGGGCCCGTCACTCACGCCGACGCATCCGATGCGGAACTCGTGCTCCTGCGCCCGTCGCGCTGCCTCGTAGGCCGCCTTTGGGTGGTCCGGGTCCGCGGCGTCCTCCTCGTCGTCGTCGTCCCCGTCCGGCAGCCGCACCGACGCGGCGCGCTCCTCGTTGAGGCCGATCGAGTAAAAGACCGAGACGTAGGCGCCGCCGCCCGCCAGGCCCTCGATGCAGATGAGGACGATGACGAGCGGGCTGGCGATGCTGGGCCGGAACCACGCGTGCAGGCTCTCGCTGGCCAGCACGAGCAGCAGCGCCGTCTGCAGTATCGCCGGCAGCCACAGGAAGCGCTTTGGGATGGCCGGCAGCCGCAGGATCGAGACCGACGAGCGCGAGATAAAGACAAACGTCTGGTAGACGAGCTGGTAGAGCGGGTAGTAGTCGCTCAGCTTGCGGATGATGCGCGACAGCAGCGGGTGCTGCGCCCGCGTCGGCAGCGGGTAGATGAGCGTCGGCGCCACGCCCTGGTTGATCGTGTACTCGGAAAAGTAGACGGTCACCAGCGGCAGGATGTAGGGCCACAGCATCGGCCTGAGCAGCTCCATCTTTTCCGCAAAGCTCAGCCGGACCTTGATCGCCCGCGCGCCCTCCTTGCCGTCGTCGGCGGCGGGCGCGAGCAGGATGTGGGCGCCAGTCGCGCTGTCGGCCACCGGCTCGGGCACCACCTCGAGCGACCGCCGGTCCGAAGAGACGAGGCGGCCGTGCTCGTCGACCCTTGGAGCTGCGTCGGCGTCGTCGCCGTCTCCATCGTCATCATCTTCGGGAGCCGCGGCGTCGGCGTCGGCGTCGGCGGACGGCACCGCCGCGTACGCCCCCCGGTCTGCCGACGTCCCTCCGCTGCCACCACCGGCGCCGCC